CCGCCATGCCAAGTCACCGGTGCCTATCCACTCTCTGAAACGGCCCACACTCAACTCTACACATGAAAAATCCCAACGACATGGGCTAACACTAATGCACCAATAATTCTCTAGACTTCAATGTAGATCCGTAACTGCCCCCGGGGTACGCCATCGCCATTTAATCGGGGCCTCTTTTATGGCGCAAAACTGAATGGGAACTTTTGTCATTATCTCATTTGGGAGTAGCAGCTCACGGAGTTGATTCGATTTTTTGGAAATTTATTTCAGTCATTTTTGCATGGGTCCGGAGGTTGGGACCCCTGCGGGTCCCAACTGTAGCTGTGGCGATGGTTTTGGCGTTCTTGGAAGACAATTGGCGAGTTTTATGGCGGAATGATGATGGTGTGATGAGATCTGGGTTTGATGGCTTTTTGGAAGAGAATTTAGGGCAGAATGAGGAGAGACTAGGGTTTTTCATTCTTTGTAGATCGCATCATTCCTAAATTTGATGAGAATGTTGCGGAGGCTTCGAGCCAGGAAAATTCAACTGACGAGTTCTCGAATAGAATCAAGAAAACCTTTCAATCTTCTTTGGACTTCTTGAAATCCCTACAAAGGCTCGTTGATCTGCACAATCTGCTTGTGCAGCCAAAATTCCTCGAATCTTTGGCCCCAGTTTGACATTTTTCGGACAAACCAAGGTGGCTATTTCACCAACGAGAGTGCGGCAGGGGGGAATGCAAAAAAGTTATATGCAGACAGTGAGATATGACGCTGAGTATAGTACGCATTCACGAGAGAGATACGGTAGGAATGTTAATTGCCAATTTATTTTTACCCTTGAGAGTGAATCCAAAGTGGTGGAGGATATATTGAACGATTGGCTGAATTTAACGATAATGCCCAATTAAAGTGAACGAACCGTTGCTCGAGATTTTTGGAGGTTTTGAAAAAAAATTTTGATGAATATTTTGAAATACAATAGGAAAACGAAAAAAGGAAAAAGGAAATTGAGAAAATTGTTGACTTCATTTGATTTTTTAAGAGATCCATTGATTCATCAATGGATAATTGAAAAAAAAAATATATCAATCAGAATGGCAAAAACTCGACATTATTTTTTACCGTGTAATTGGTAATTGTAGTAGAACAATTCCATGTGGGTATTGGAGTAAGGAGGCAAGACCACCCTGTGATGACTGACCAACCTCAATGAGATCGAGGACAGAGGCTAAACGGGAAACGAGAGACGACACTCTGCAAATAGGAAGAGCATATACCTGGGCATTCGCTCCTTCACTTCCCACTCTTACTGGCCTCATGTTGAGCAACAGTTGAACAGATGTAATGTACTGATTGCTACGTACACTTGTGTACAAGCCAATTGGAGCTGTTGAACTTGTTCAAATAGAGGGAAAAAAATCCACAGGAATTATCATGACCACAATGCACTTTACGGAGTTATTACAATTTTGACGGCAATATGGAAAAAATTACCATGTCATATAGTAATTCTCACTACGTGTGACATGATAATGATAATGTTGACATCGCAATGATTACTTCACGGAGAGGGAGAGAATTAAATAGTTGCGATGTCAATTAACTTCGTGTCACTATCTGCCCATTAATGGTTGATATATTAATCACTTTCATGTCCGTAGTAATATATTTACTGAACCTAACTACCAGCTAAATCTCCTTGTAGAATTTTTAATATCGATTTTTCTACGCGGTGAATGAAAATAAGATAATAAATATGGATAATGGAAGAACAAATGAATAATCGTGATTAGTTTTTTAGGTGAGGTTGACCTCGTCTGGCATAGTTGCACGCAGCATGGGCTGGATTCCCCGACAGCCATTTTGCGTTTTCCCGACGAGCAAAACGATCGCGAGACGATCCGCGGAGTCGAGGTTTATACGAGTAGATATCCCCCTTTTTCTCACAGCCGGCTCAACTACTCGGGTCAACGATTCCATATTGGAATGAAAACGAGTGCCAGGGGTCTTCCCTCACCTCCTCGTCTACCCTTTTTCCCCTGCTGATGGCCGTTTCTTTCGCGGGATTGTGCGCCTTTTTGCCCGTGAAAATGCGCGAAGGGAAAATTAAACAAAAGAATTAAAAGGAGGTGGAATAAAGTGGATGAAAAATCGTTGAGAAGCATCGTGAAATTTTAAAATTCATGAGGATCAAATTGAGGGGATAATTTCAACTCCGCATTGTTGGACGTTGATTGGAGAAAATTATACTTCTTGGTGTGAATCTTTCGGGTGAAGTTATTATGTTTCACTTGGGAGTACATTTTTTTCATCAATTACTTCAATTGCAACGGATCAGGCAAACGTTAAGAGCATAGGGACTGTAACAAAAAGTCCCGTAATTTTTATTCAATATTTATTTCCGTGTATTAGGCCCGAAATTCAAACTCACAAAGCCGAAATCAACCGGAAAAAATATTGACCGAATATTGGACTGTTGTCTGTTTATCGAACATCGAGGGATACCAGTGATAATGCTCAAAAAAAGTAATCGTCATGCATAAATTGAGTGTACTTGGCACTTGGGCATACCGGATTTGGAGGCTTGCCGAGAGCTGTGGCCATCGGCCGTGGCACAAGAGAGAGAGGAAAAAGAATACCAAGTGGAAGAGGTGTATATGCCAGAGAAAGAGGGACTACCCTTGGATGGTACATGGATGGGGCCAGTGCATATGGTGGGGAGAGCATTTGCATCGGAATGCAAGCCCCCGCGCCGTGCCACACGCCTCAGCCCCTCTCCACCCCCTTTACCACCCTTTACCCCCCTTTTCCCCTCGTTTATTCCCACTCTGCCACATGCACACGTTACTCCGAATATATACCATTGCCCGTATTTTATATGTGTATTGAACCGCGTGAAAAGTACTCGCGGAATTCTACGTTTTCCACTCGCTTCACAATTCTTCATCTCCTCTTATTCATTGATAATTCTATTCCCATTGGAAGGTTGAAACTGAATTTTTGTGGGGAATTCAAATTGAAATTTCTGGAGGAAATTTCAACCTTTAGTGGATTGAAAAAGAGACGATCACGCGAATCATTGTGCGAACAATGAGAGGATAAGAAAAAATAAATTCTCAAAATTGCGTGGATCAATATATCCGGTAATTTTCAAGTTTTTCTTTTTGAATAATGTCAAAGATAAAATTCCTCACGGCCGAATTTCACAACTGAAAAAATTTTAACGTATAAAAATGATGATGAAATTGCGTAGGCGAGTTTTGGGCTTTGATAAATGGTGGAATGAAGATGGAGTGTGTGCTACCAACGCACGTTAATGTTCACACAATAAAATGACTATTACCCGAGCTCTTAAACGAATAGATATGAATTATTTACGATCAGGACGAATTATTTCTGCGGAAATTCATAATAGAATTGCCTCTGTTGATATTTCAATGCCGGGGAGGAATTATTCAATCCAGAGGCGAGTGAAAATTCCGGGAAAAATTGTCTCTGATTTGTTCGACTCGAAAAAAATAAACGAAATGTACCACTTGCTGGGGCAATAAATAATTCAGTAGCTGGGATATGGTTTGTGTGGGGGTATAAAAATTGAAAAAATTTCAGGATTCGTAAAATTTAAATACTGGACTGACGTAAGTACTTTGGTTTCTCGGATAGGTAAGACACACTGGGGGAATGGGTAGGAAATGGAAAGAAAGAAATTATGTGCGTTGTTGGGTGCCTAATGCCACCGGAAATACAATCATTTCCCACGCCAGGGCCACTTCCTGTTTCTCTATGGTTTAAAGTTTTTAGTGCGTTTTTTTACGAGAATAGGGGACTTTGGGGAGATTAACAAAGGAATTTTCTGGGGAAAATCGGCCGAGAATTCTGCAACTATTTTGCCAGGGAAAGGTCAGATGCCGCAGGTGTTCATTTTTCTATTCAATTCTCAAATTGATTGATGCATGCATTTTGGTATTTATCTCATTGTATTGTCAAATTTTTGGTTGAGAGATTGATTTTTTCAAAATTAATTTTTCACAATTAATTTTTCAAAATTAATTTTTCAAAATTAATTTTTCAAAA